TTGAGGCCCTTAGGGGTAGTCACAGAGCTGGAGGGCAGCCGACTACTGCAAGAGCCGAGACCACTTTCGACCTCTGCTGCATAGCTGGTCAGTTTGAAACTTAACGTCTCGGCAGCCGAGATAACACTTTTCTCGGGCCACCTCGAAGACGCTTTCCGTGCCTTACTGCAGGTCGCACAGGGGCCAGGGTCACGAGCCCTCTTGAATGTTCGAAGGCACTGTGAACAGGTCAGTGGAGCGTCCTTCTCCAACGCAAGGATGGGGTCTTTGGAAGATACGCTCGGTGGGGGCCCGGCCGACTCGTTGTTGGGGTTGGGCTGTAACTGCGCTATCAGACGGAGGAGTTCCTCTTTAGTGGTACAGGACAGAATGACGGTAGAGTAGTCCTCTGGGGCCGCCTGCTCGACGACCTCTTGTAGAGCCTCTTTGACACGCTTGGACGCTTGGGACTTACCTCGGCCTCGTTTCATGAGGGGGAGGGGAATCAACTGCATGGGAAAAGCACTGAGTAGTAGGAGGGGCAATTTGACGACAGGGGGCTCGGAAAACGCCGATCGGATGAGATTTCTTCAAAGTGGATGCACTGAAGGTTCGTACGATAGCCTAGGAAATGTGCAACACCCACAGTAGTATTAAACAACGATTATGCGCAGTGAAAAAATCCGTATTTTCGACAAAATCACGCACTTATAATCGCCCGGTTTTTCGTGCTGATAACTTCCAACGAACACTACCAATGGCTGGTCGACGGTGTGTAAGCTCGAAGCCTGCTGCTCGTGAGTCGAACGAGGAAGGTCTCGTCTGCTGTCACTGTGGGAGTGGGGACTTTCCCGACCTCCTCATTTGCATTTGCGATTGTCATAAAAAGTCGGAGACGCCGGGCTGGTGCATCGTCAGTGTGTCGAGGGATTATTACGAAGACTCTCGCAGCCACTGCCCTGCTGTCGCAGTGAATACTTCATCCCTTCGGACTGCGACGAGAAACTACGTCGGACTGCCATC